CCCTTAAACTGCGACAGACCCAGCAAGCTGGCGGCCAAAAATTCCTGTTCCCAACTCACCACCCGATGAGGCGGTGCATTGTCATGAAGAAGGTTAAAAACTGCCAGGTGTTGAACACTCAGGTCGAACTCAGAATCGTTTTCAATAGACGTTTCAAAATACTTAAATAAACTGTGGTTATGACAGTCTGTCCCTCTGGAATAAATTCTTTGTGAATAACTCCTTTGCTGAGGTAGAAGTACACCAACAGTGTCTTTACTATCAACTTTTAAAGACATATATTTTTGCCTTTTGGTGATGATGATGACTTCCACTGAGCACTTTGATATTTTGTTGTGGGATTAGAGCAGAAAATCCATGTTTCATCCTCTGCAACAATCAAATTTAAGAAATATTTATTTCTGTGACATGTTTTGATGATGTCTTTTGTGTACTCAACATGCTGTTTTCGGTCAGCAGACAGTGAATGTGGTACAAACCAGCCAGCAACTTTTTTCTTGCCCAAATCTAAAATTGTATGACACCTCTGTCAACACCAAATTTCTCAATCATCATCCTCATAGTTAGACAACGATCTTCTTGTATCCCTTATCTGACTTTTACAATGAGTTCCTCATTATGAACAAAAATTAGGCATCCAGGACTAGTTGTACTAGTAATAATTTCCACACCACTTTTAAATCGTGAATACCACCTGAAAATCTGTTCATGAGATAAACAATTATCTCAATAAACTTGTCTCATCAGTTTAACTGTCTCAATGGTGCTTTTTTGAGTTTTAAACATAATTTAATGTTAGCTTTTTGCTCCATGCTGATTAAGTAACAATGCACCTCTGACTAGGTCAACAAAATGGCAGCTTGTTTGTTGTCTGCCTATCGGACAGCGATGCAAAGTTGCCAGATCATAGACGAAGGTTGCCTCTTTGGATTCCATGCATTGCTTCATAGATGGCATTTTTGTCTTGACCATAATAGGCTAATAAGCACTTATCGGGTGAAATGGTCAATTCTGTGACTTCCTTGGTACATATTTTGTAAAGACTGAGTCGAGTTGGGAGCTATGCTGAATTTTGAATAACCATAGATTGTGGCATTTAAGTTGGTTTTCAAGTCTAAAAAAATGTGTTCCAGTACTGGGTGTTGACCTAAATGGCAGGTATAAAATGCAGTACAGTATGTATAGGCCTAACTCAAAATGTTTAGCTAACTTGTACACCAAAATTTATGGTAAATCTACCTCGATGCAGTTTTGAATCCTAGACCTTCGGGTCGGCAGATGAGTTCCTAGCCATGCTACCCCAGCTCCCACTGTATCTTCTTCTTCAGCATTCCGAGCCTTTAAGTTCATTGCTGCAGATATCACCTGCCTCCACTTGTCTCTCTGGTTGGCTTTCTCTTTTCAGTTTGTAACACCAAGTGTTTGCTGGTCTCTCTGGACATTATCTCTCCATCGTCGTCTTGGTCTGCCTCTTGGTCTACAAGCATTCATCTTTTTTGTGTATACAGTTGTATTAGCACCATATTATCCCCCTGTATACGCAACATACATTTTTTCATTACTGTTTATACTTTTAGCCGTTGATTTCATTCCACCGGTGAATATCAGTTTGCTGTCATCCTGTCTGTTTAATAAAAAATATGTTGGTCACTCACTCTTTGCGAAACCAGTAAGGTTCCATAACAGGTTATATGTGGCTACGTTTGTTAAAATTTTGTTTCTTTAGTTGTATTGTGTCACTGTTTTATTTTGTCTTCAATCTTTTTTTATACTAGTTGTTGGTCTCTGCTGGAACACTGTATTCTTCTTCTTTACATTCACCGGTTGTAAACTCCAGTGGAAAGTTCTGGTTGTTCATCCACATCTGGACTTTAGTCTTGTTCCAGAACTTGAGGCTTGCCTGCACATCCATTTTACAGTCTGGTTTATTTGTATGCAGACTGTTGGTTCCTCGCCTCTCAAGTAGAAGCACACTGACATTGAAAGAAACAAACCTAATTAGTACATTTTTATGACATGGGTGGTTGGGGGGGGGGGGGGGGGGGCTGGGGGAGCAGGGGGGTGTAAGTCTGTTCTTTATTTCCCAAAATGACAGCTCCAACCCTCACGAGGAGGAACATTGTGTGAAACTTTGCTGCTTTATTTGTAAACTTCCTAATCTGTTTGTACCATTCCTGCTTTACATATATTCTCTCGTTTATACCTTTCCTGCCACTAAAAAAAAGTAAAGTTTGTGATCAGTTGTCCTCTTTATGTACATGTTTTCATGTCTACCAAAGAGTTTGTGGTCTAAACATGAGATATTCCCTGTTCAAGTTGTCATGATGTGTTCTCCATATTTATCATATTTTACTGGTATTCTATTTACTTAACCTTTCACAGTGACCATAAATCAAGAATCATTATTTCTTTGTATTATTTATATAAATTTTTTTCATGGTAACATATTAATCATTTATTAGTTTAAGGTGAAGGAATATTGCCTAACATCTTCATTCTGTGCATTTGTGGTGCTGTGTTCTCACTTTTCCCTGCAACACCTGGGTCTGTACCCAACACTACCCTTTTTTCCCCCCACAAACATATAACAATAACACATATATCTAGTGGCAGCTGGTATATTTACTATTGTAGTTATTATATTAGTTTCTGCTGAACATTGGTCTTGGCATTGCCTGACTTTTATGTTTAGAGTTAGGATGTCTTAAAAATCTGGTATGATGTCTTCCTCTAACTTGTGAAGGCTGGGTTCAGTTCATGATGTAGGCTGCATAGATTTCTTACCAAATAAGAAAAGGGTGGTAAACACCTTCTGACCATGGAGTAGTAAAAAGTACACCTAGTCTTTTCAGATAAAGACAGAAAACTAGAAGGATGTTTGTAATTTGCATACAGTAAAAATGCCATGGCAGCTGGGTATAGAAAAATCATTACTCATGGTTGCAACTTCACGACAACAGGTTGCTCATTTCCTGTGCCAGCAAAAAACTACAAAAAAAAACTGGACAAGCAACATGCATACACATTAAGTGCAGAAGGCAGCTAGCACCACTGTTGAGCCTCTATGTATAACAAGTTCAGATGTGAGGAAAATTAGTAACCAATGGACAGAAGCACACACACAAAATTAATCCAAGGATTTCATGGCTGACCCATTTGTCTGTCAGATTATAATTGCAATTCTTAGGAACAGAAAAAAGCTGGCTAAGTACATCACTAGACAGGCTCAATCTTAAAATTAGGAAAACTACTGTATCATTTATGTCATTGTTAGGTACCAAAAAGTGATAAATAGGGGTGACTGCAGTCAAGCTAATACCAAGAAATGAATCCAATGAACCGTGACTAAAAAAAGCTGAACACAAGGGGAAACAGTGCATACACAGCAAACAAATCAACATTTTCGGGCCAAAGCCTTTCTCGCCATTAACTACACAACAGTAACAGAGGGCGAAGAACTCCAGCCACCAGTCCCCACCAGGGAGTATCATGTGAATAACTATAAAATATATACTATATCCATGGTGGGTATGGTGGCTGGAGTAATTTGCCCTTTGTTACTATTGTGAAGGCCATGTCAAGAAAGGCCCCAGCCAAAATGACCATTTGTCTGTTGTGTGTGTTTTTTTTCCTTCTCCCTTTCTTAAATTTTTCAAGCCGCAGTTCACTGGATTAATTTCTTAATTTTTATATACACACTTATGGGAGTGTGCCAAGTGCTGTGATGTCGATTCTTAATTCAACTTTAAACATTCAACATTATTTAAACATGTTTGGATCCTCCCTGATGCTGTGGAGTCCATACACTTTGCTAAAATGCTTCTTTTGTAATCTGTTGATGGAGATTCATCTCATATGGAAAGATCTTCACCTTTATGTGCAATAAAAGTCTTCTTTATTAAAAAATCAACCCCCCCCCCCCCACCCCCCAAAAAAAAATTTTTGGTTTCTTGTTTACACAGGGCCTGTATTTTAAAGTATATTGTTTATGAAGTCAGAAATGTGAAATTAACACTAATTCTAAATTTACCAGACATTGAATAAATGTGAATTCAAGCTGTAGCTGTTAAGTTACTTTGGATAACTATGGCACATTTATATTTATATAAAGGACTTTTTACGAAAGTGGCACATCGGGTGTATAATGCCAGAATCTATTTTATAGACCATTCGGCACTTTATGTACAGTGCGGTCAACATCGCGCTAGCCACGATTTACTGCTAGGACACTGCCTGGTACCCTTTAAAGGCTAGGTTGACCTAAAGCGAGGGTCAAATTTGAAATAAATCCAACTCAGGGCAAGTTCAAACCCAGGCTCTACGGGCTGGCAGATGTGCATCTGGCCATTTCTCTACCACGTCTCACTCCTGGTCCCTCGCCTGTCCGCTACTAGTTGTTATAGAATAACTGAAAGAGTTTTAGTGAGTGGCAAAATCCTTACCCACATAAGACTGCAGGTTACATCTGTTCATAAATTCAGTGAAAAAGTGTTTTTCGATGGTCTTAGGCGACCCTTTTGAAAGCCTCCTTTGACCCACAACAAGTTTGTGACCTATAGGTTGAGAAGCGCTGATCTAGCGAGGGGTGGGTAAGAGACAACTGTGGAATTGAGTGTTCAGAAATTTCCCAGACCAGCTGAAGGGCTAAAATACTTGATGATGATATAACGATGCTGATAAGGATTTTGAACTGATCTTATGCTATAATTAATGAGCTATAAAATTAGTTATCCCCATGAGGAATCCAGGACTCAATTTTTGGTGGGGAAAAGCGACTGATTAAAGGTTAGTTGAAATCAGATGTATGGGCCAAAAAAGGTGCAGATATTACAGCTCTGCTGTAAATGACAATGTGCCAGCTGCATTTTTAAGGGCGAAGACAAGGGGGAAAAGAAGAAGAAAATGAGTTATTAACTTTTTAAAGTTTTGTTTCCGAAGCCAGAAGTCAGTGAAAGCAAATGTCAATCATCATTGTTATGAACATGTTTGTACTCCTGCAGATATTGCCGACATCTTGGGTCACACTCATACAAAGATCATATCCGATGCTAACCTACCTTTGCTGGTCAGGCAGATTGCTGTTCACTGTAATGTAAGTATAGTGCCACATGAAGAAATACATTACTGTAATATGAGGTTTAAAACTGCAGGAAGAAATAATTGTAATGTAAGTATACTACTAGATGAAGAAGTAAATCACTGTAATGTAAGTATAGAAATTCATGAAGAAATAAGTCATTATAATGTAAGTATAGATTTACATTAATAAATAAACCACTAATCTAAGTATAGTGCTAAATGAAGAAATATGTTATGTAAAGTAAGCACATGCTACATAAAGAAAAGTCATACTAATGTAAATCTCTTCTTCTTCTTCTTTTCTCTACTCCTTGAATGCCTCGCGGCTTCAGGGCAGTAAGATCTCTGGAAGGGGCCCTTTTGTTCACTTTGTATAAAGTACTTTTCAGTGTCTCTGATATTTCTGAAGGCCATCTTCTGCGTGGTCGATATTAGGGTCTGTTACCGTTGTATCTGAATAATACTGCTCTCTGTGGTGCCCTGTCTGCTGCCAATCTTGTTACATGGCCAAACCATTTGATTTGTTGTCTGCCTATAAAGTTCAGTATTGGTTCTGTGCTGATTCTCCTCCTGATATCGTTCCTAAGTCGATCTTTCCTCGTTACACCTAGCATAGTACGTAAACATTTCATTTCTGTCGTGACTATTTTCCATCTGTCTTCTGTAGACAGTATCCATGTTTGACATTGATAGCAGAGCGTTGGTAAGAGTATTGTGTTAAACAGTGTTCTTTTATTATTCATATTCACATGCTGGCATTTCACAATTGGTGCCAGTTGGCCTAAAACTTGATTGGCTTTATTGCATCTCTGTTTGATTTCTTTATTCATTCTTCCCTCTTCTGAAAAAATGCTCCCCAGATATGTAAAATCCTTCCCCTGCTTTAATTGGTGTTCGTCAATTTTGATATTGATGGTTCTTCTTTTCTGGAGGAAAATGTCCTCACTTCTGTTTTGTCTAGGTTGATCTTCATATCATAGTTGTCGCATTCTGAGTGGAGTCTGTTAACATGTTCTTGTAGCTGTACTGCTGATAGTGCTGTGATTGCCTGTATGATATGTAAATATAGTGGTAAATTAAGAAATAATTCCATTGTAATGTAAATATAGTGGTAAATTAAGAAATAATTCCATTGTAATGTAAGTATAGTCCTGGATGAAGAAACAATTCAGTATAATGTAAGTATAGTGCTAAATAAAGACTGAATACAATGTAAGTACCGTGATAAATAAAGAAAAAAGTCACTGTAATGTAAGTACTGGGCTACATAAGGAAAAAGTCACTGTATTGTGCTAAATAAGAAAATAAGTCATTGTAATGTAAGTATAGTAGTACTACGTGAAGAAATTATGCCACACACACACAATAGAGAAATAGCTGCAAAACTTATTTTTCCAAATGTTCGATTGAAGTCGGGTAACTGAATCAATGCTCAACCCCACTCCATCCATAAGGTCTTTAGTTGGGGGACATAGTGGTTCTGTGAAATTAGATTAGGTTCTTGGGCAATAATCTCTTTATTTCAGCATGTTGACGGTCTTAGGAATGTCTGCTATCCATTATTGTATGACCATCTTTGAAGAAGTTGTTTCAGCTTGCATTCTGTTGAAATTAGGATTTATGAAAGGAAATGGTAAAGGGCAACACTAGGTGTTTTTTTTTTTTCTAGAATAAAAAGTGCCGGTACTCACCAAAGAGTGTCTTAAAAGGTGCCGGTACTCACCACAAAGTGCCTTTTACAGTAATGCTGAAAAAATTGATGTCTAAAATTAAAAGATGCTGGTACTGTGTTGCATACTACCAGAAGTAAAGCCTGGGCGACGCCAACACTGCAAGCATGACTAAGATCCACGAAAGTGTAATCCGAACAAACAACAGTCTTTGTAATTTGTTCCACTTGGATATTTGCTTATATTTTAAAAACCAGATTCCCCGTGTGGGTTTCTGGGGCTCCATTGCAGGGAAAACAAGAATAGATCCACTGCCTACTAAAAATCATGTCATGAGAGTTGACTAATTATGAGCTTTCTTTAAAGTCAGAGTGCATCTGCCTGAGAGGCAAGGAACCAACAGTCTGCATACAAATGAGTAAAATGGATGCACACGCAAAACTTAGCTTTCGGAAACAGGACTATAGTCCAGAAGTGGATAAACAAATCAAACTTTCAGCTAGAGTTTACACCCGGTGAAGGTGAAGAAGAGATCCAGAGTATTTTTCTTCTTCTGCCGTCTCACGGTTATCAGGTTGTAGCCCAGTTTCAGAGTTTTTGTGTATTTTCATTGTAACCTCAGGATAAAAGTGTACCTGGATACCAGTTTTTGAGGATACAAGGCCAGGCTCGCAATTTTTTTTTCTCTTCAGAAAATGAGGTTTAATCCAGATTGCGAGCTAAAGAGATAACTCTCAGCGTTACCTGAAACATCTCCATAACTGAAATTGATTAGGTCACGCAAACATTGCTGAGGGAAGTCTTAGTTAGTTAGTTAGTTAGTTAGTTGGGTTATCATTATTGCACTCCGGACATGTCCATAGGTGCTCAGATCCTCCCCTCAGTATGAATCCCAACGTCCGATGGCTAATAGTACCAGTTCTATGTTGATTAACAAGTCTTCTGACGTGTCCGGTGTGCGTCTCGTTTTTTGCTGTGCCGATCTTAATTCCCAAGTCTGCCATTCTGGCTAGTGATGTGGATTCACTGCCACCAAAGTCCTCTATCCTTCCCCATGACTTAGCCAGTAGGTAAGTCACTTGACGACCGACTAGCATCATGGTTGGAAATAGCTCCATTTTCTGCTGCCGGCAAAAACAAGACAAAAGCAGTGGCACACATTTTTCTCATTACCAAAACAAAGAAACTTCATTTTGTTTTTTAAAATAATTTTTGGAGGGCTTGAAAGAATTCAAATTATTTACATTAAGTTTAATGGAAAAATAGAGCTCGGTCACAGAACAGATTAAATTTGCATCCTAAGTTTCACTGTGTACGTATTTCTTTCAGCTTGCATCAATGGTTCTCCAGCGACAGCAGTCAACCGTTGGCAGTCCTGAGGTGTTTGCTTCTAACTGGCTGGAGAGAGTCAGACAGATCAAGCTCCTGAAGCGGCGCCTTCTGGAACATCGATCAGAGGAAGGTGTTACATCGGAGCCAGCTAGTCCTTCACACATGTGGCCTCCCACTGGTGCCGGCGGAGACGGTCTTGCTGGAGGTTATGAGGATTTCACTGATTACTTGTAGACAGTTGCTTGTGTCTGTCTAAAAACAGTCATGGCAACCGATGCGTGTTGGCAGGGGCTGTTCACTATATCTGGCTGTATGTATCGGTGTTACAGAAATGTCTGTCATTTGTTTAATTTTCTTTGTGTTTTATCATCAGCACCAGCCAAAGTCACATAATTGCATGGTTCAAACCTGATTTTCTTGAAACAGATATTTATCCCCTTGGTGACTTTGGCGTAATAATAATGATATACAAAGGCATGATTTATTTTGACCTGTATTGCTGTGGCGGGCCAGCTCAGCCTCGTCAAAATGAGTACCAGATATTTTTCAGTTTGTTCCGTGAATTGTCTGGGGACTGACGATCCTAGCTTATATGTTGTGTTGTGACCTAGAATGTGTGAGGAGGCCAAACACTTCACACCCCACCAGCAGTATCTGTTATTATTGTTACCTTTATTTAGTTATTTAGTTAGTTGAGGTCTTTCGGATGTTCTGTTTGTGGTGAAGATCAAATTATATTTTATGTATATTGTTCAGACCAAACTTTCTTTTCTTTCTTTTTCTCTTTTTTTTTTCTTCAAAAATGACCCTGGCTTCCAGGTCAGTCCAGCTTTAACTGGGTACCAGGTGAAGTCCCGGGAAGTAAAGGCAGTCAGCATGCTATGAACCACATCACCCACAGAGTGCCGATCGGGCCGAAAATATTAATCTAGCACTGTATATACCCAGTAGGCTTAAAGGAGTGGAAAGGGATCCTTTACTTGTTTTTCTTTTTCCTACACAGTGTTCAGCATTTGTGAAAACTACAAACATTCAAGATGTGTATGCTGATTCAGATTAGTTTTATAATAAGAAATGTTCCGTTTGTGATAAGTTCATGTTATGTTTGTGTTTTCAGTATTCATAAAGTGTCAGAACTACACACTGTGTACATTGATTAGTTTTATATTTAAAATGATATATTTCTGGTGAATTTCATGTTATTTTTGTCTGTAGTGTTTAGCGTATGCTAAAACACACAGAATAAAATATGTAGATTGATTTTTCTTATAATTGAAATGTTCATTTAGTGGTGATGTTCATATCTGGTTTAAAATTTTTATAATACAAATGTTCATTTTAGGTCAGATTCCATGTATGCTTTGTAATTTTCATATTCAGGATGTACGGCAATTACAAACAGTAAAAGTATGTAGATTGATTAATTTAATAATTACAATGTTCTTACTTAAAATTATGAACCTGAAATCTAAAGGTTTAATTATATGCATCTCGTGTTAACACATTAAACTTGAATTTTAATTTTTTCCTCCCAATGAAATGTGAGGTAATGTTTCAGTAAATATTTTTTAGTCACGACTCAATGTTGAGACACTTTGTGTTACATTCTTTGTTAACAGAATATTAGGATACTTATAACTTTATTCATCATTATCATCTTGTTGAGCCATTTTGTCACATAGGGCTTGCAGTCTATTCTTTCATTCCACTTTGTCCTGTGCAAGCGTTTAAATAACATGAACGGAATCCGGTCCAGCACCTCTTTCATCAGTGTTCCTTAATTTTCTCTTGGACATCCTCATATGGAGGTGGAGGAGGTCACTGCAGCTTTCCGCTGGTTAGAGAACACGACACACACACACAATGTGATTGTAACTGACTCAGAAAGCATGCTGAGGAAGACCAGGACAGGCATGCTTCGTGCAGAGTTGCATGCTTCACTGCAGAGGACACGGGTGGGGAGTATTGTCTTGATTTTTTTCACCGGGAATCGCCGGTGTGTTGGGAAATGAACAGGCAGACAGGCTGGCTGGCTCTGCACAACTTGGTGGAATACATCTGATAAGGCAGATGGGGTTAGTGCCTTGTAGGAGAGCATGTACAGTTCAGATCACCACAGTCTGGTGAGATTGATTGGGGGGGGGGGGGGGGTGACGAGAGGTTCTGGCAGATGGTCGAGGCTCAGAGAAAAGGCAAGACGGACGTTTAATCAGAATGCTACTGGCACCATTAGTATCGGAACTCTTCACTGGCTGCTGAAGATGGATACGGAACGCTTATGGAAATGCCCCGAGTGCTGTGATGTCGGTTTTTGAATCAAGTCAACTCATTCATTTTCTCTTGGACATCCTCATATCCTCAGTCCATTTGTTTGCAATATCTTTGTATTTTTGTTGATTCTCTGCTTGCTTTTTCTCAGAATTTAGCACCATCTTCTTTGCTCTACAACCGTATTTATATTTATTACATAAACTTGATTTGGAATATAATGTATCCAGAGAAAAAAAAACGTGAGATGGAAATAAATGTTTGTGCAGAATTGTTGTGTCATTGTATCTGCGGACCGATGTGATCCCTTTAGTGAATAAAGATATTGTTAGTGTCCCAAGAACTCCTTCAGTATACTCAGTGTAATGAAATATTAGTTCTTCCCCCTGTCGACCCAGCCTAAAAATGGGTACCATGATGGCTGTCCTAGGGAAGTAAAGATGGCTGGAGTAATGCTGACCACATTAGCCACCTTGTGCTGATTGGTCTGTAAAAATATAGGATGCTTTTCCCACATGCCTGATGCACCTAAGGTGTGAAAAAGAATCTTTACTTTTTTACTTACTTCAGCCATATATCATGAACTGATGTATAGAGCAGGGGTGGCCAACACATCGACTGTGGTCTGCTAGTTGACCGGCAAGCCTAGAGAGGTGGCCTACAGTGGTCTGTGTCAAATTGTTTTTATTAAAAACTTATTATTGTTCAATTCTCTCTGTAACGTCTGTAGCCCATTTCCTGTCAGTATGGTGGATAGGAAATTTAACTATTTCTAATAGTTTTTGCTTTTGGCAATTGTTAGCCATTGCACTTTGCTCCATATTTAGACTAAAAGGATATCTTTCCATTGCCCAGCAACCGAGCTGAGCGCATGGCATGACACTGAGTTGTGGATTTAATTTGTAATACTTTTTAACTTAATTTCTGCTGTAAACCGCAGATTTTCCTGTGTAATAATGTGACAACATTAGACATTGTCCATGTTCAGCATTTCAGTATAGGGCTTATCTTGCTGATGGTTTGTAACAGTAATTTTTGAAACTGGTTTTTAAAAAAAATGTTAAATAGATTTTATAGTTCATAATGCATGAACAGAGCAGATACATGTATCACTACATAGCACAGAAATAAATTTAAAAAAAAAAAACCAGTATATTTTTTTAAAATAAACACCCCCCCCCCCCCCCCCCCCCCCCCCCCCCCCCCACAACCCCCCCCCACCCCCCCCCCCCCCCCCCCCAAAAAAAAAAAATCTTTAATAGATTTCATCACAACTGGTCCAAATTAATGCTATCTGCATACTGTGGAGTTTTCTTCTTCACATTCACTGAAACTCCAACGGAGAGTCCTGGTTGTTTGTTCTCCTGGACTTTGATCAAGTGCTGCGTGCACATCTGTTTTACAGATATAGCTTATATGCGTGCAGACTGTTAGTTCCATGCTTGTCAGGCAGTACCACTTCAAATTTGAAGGAAAATATCGATCTCGTCTCTGTTGGCCAGGCTAAGGGTTGTAAAATTGTTTCTAGGATGACCTCAGAGAAGTGGGAGCAGGTCTTGGCCAGGCTCCAGGTTGTGAACCTGTTTCTAGGATGACCTCAGAGACGTGTAGTCAGATCTCGACCAGTATAAGCTCTGGTCCCCCAAGAAGTCCTGCTCAGTTAGCTCGTGCCCTTTTTTCCAGCATATTTATTTGATTACAGCCACACTGTATCCACATGCCCCACTTATATCTAATGCTCACTAAACAGCAGAAAAGTCATTCCATGCCTCCTCCATTTGTACTGTACAGCCTCTCTCTATGTGGGTGTGTGAGTGAGTGAGTGAGAGAGCGAGTGAGAGCTAATATGCTACGCAATTCCCAGGTTGAAAGTGGGCACCCATTAGGTATAGAATACACAGAAATACAGGAAACTTACTAATTTATATCAGTTAGCTTTATTTTATTTGTTTATATTTACTTAATATCGGAATAATATTCTACATTTTTCACCTAAACCAAACTTTAAAAAAAAACATGCAAGGGATCTGAAATTTACATATTCTTATCAATTGCGCCTTTTTTCTAATTACACTTGTTTGTCCATGTGTGTCTTTCCAGATAATATTGTTATACAGAAATACAGGAAAAACCACGACATTGGGCTTATAACCTGGCATCACTGAGATGACAAAAGAAGATGAAGTGTTATACAGTCTTGTAAAGAGGAATAGAGATCACAGCCAATTATGGCCTGGGCTGAAGTTCCTCCTATTTAAAGGATAAAGCCTTGGTAGTCTTGCAGAAACCAAGCTTTGACCGTGCATCATGATCCATTTCTCTGCTTGCCTATTTGACTCCAAAAGAAAGGAAGCACTAATACATTTGGAATAAATCATTTCTGGCTCCATACATTCCATTAAATTGGTTTTAAAGGTGACAGAAATTTTTACAGCAGAAGATCTTGGAGGGAGGCGAGAAGAAGACCAAGAAAGCGATGGTGTAGCAGAAATCTGCAAAAAGATGAACAAATCCATCACCCAAGCCATCTGAGAAGCGCAAGACAAACACAGAAAACCATGACACTGGGCTACAACCTGGTATCAGTGAGATGACAGAAGAAGAAGAAAGGTGACAGATGCTGACTTCTTCTTTTCTCTACACCTGGAATGCCTTGCGGCATCAGGGCAGAAAGAGATCTCTGGAACAGGCCTTTTTGGTCGGTTCATGAAATCTCATTTGTCCATGAGCACTAAATCAACCACTGTCGGTTTGCTGGACCAGTTAAAGTATTTTCAAACTTCCTGGAAGGTCACACTTGAACTGTCACACTCAGACTAGTTTAACACAACTTTCACTCCAGGATGTCCGAAACTGACCCCGGTTAGACACTGGCCAAAGAATAAATATCTCCTTGCCCCGCCATCTTGACCGGAAGATCCTGACTGACTAGCAGAAAGGTAGTTAACTCTTTGAGTCCCAAGTACTGCAGCGAACGTTCATATGTTCTTACCTAGAAGCCTAATGAACACATGATGCACCAATTTTATGACTCTCTTTACTACCCCCTGGCCCTGTGATGCTAAACCCCCTGGGACTCAAAGAGTTAATATAGGACCACCAACTGAAAAAGAGTTCCTTCCTTCCCATTGTGCAGAATACTTGGAATACATCATCTGTTATACATCAATAAAGTGCAGAAGTGTCCATGCCAAACAGAAAAGTTGAAACTGTTAAGAGTCCTTAAAGACTGGTTGACGTTTTTCTGCAAATGCTGTCATGCCTTCTTTCCTGTCATGCTGTGGATAAGAATAACGTAAATGTGTAAATAAAGGCAGACTGCAAAACTGTTTGACATCATGACATGGAAGATCATCTGTGTCAGAGCTGAAAGTACATGACACAGAAGGTTGTGGATAGACTTGACTACCAACACCACAAGGTATGGACTTTAAAAAGAAGAAGCAAAATTATTGCATTTTGATATATATATATAAAAAAAAAAAAAACTGTTCATGCCACTGGCCAATCAGGCATATGATGCTACCCTCATATTTTTTCATAAACTGGCACTCAATGGATATTGTGATCATCACACTGAGCACTTTTTCTTCTCATGGCATTTCCTTGTACTTATTCAAGGCTGGTTTGACTTGGGAATCAGTTAAAAAGAATATCCCTGCCTTGATTAGATTTTGACCAGAGGACCATCAGGTAGGCAGGCAAGCGTGCTGCCCCTGTGCCACCATGGTCCTTCACATAATGCAGCCAGTAAATGTTGACCGTCTCCTTCTGATGATTGTGATGTGTTTCCTGTTTATACCTGCAAAACCTGTATATTTCCTGTTTATTCATTCAAAAATAATTCTCCGCGTTCACCAGCTGTAAACTGTGATGCAAAGTTCTGGTTGTTTGTCCACTTCTGGACTTAGTCTTGTTCTAGAACTTGAGTTTTGCATGCATATCCATTTTACATAGCTGGCTTATTTGTATGCAGACTGTTGGTACCTCACCTCTCACCTTCCCTGGCTGCCCCTGGATTAAAATAATTACAATTTCAAAATATATCTCCACCAATCACTGGCAAAGCAGGCTTTACGAATGGAGTTATTTGTTATTCAAAGCAGGCTTTACAAATGGGGTTATTTGTTATTCAAACAGAAGATAGTAAAGGTCCCTTTTCCACCCATTTGTGCCTATTGGGAATATAGAGCCAGACATATATGTTTATAGACTAATCGGCACTTGGTGATGTGCAGGACGCAAACCCACGACCTTCTAATCTGCCGACGGGCGTCTAGCCACCAACGCCACAGCGATCCCCCAAACTGAAGATACCATGTGAAACATGAATGTTTCCAGTTACAGAATACACAAACAAAAGTGGGCATCTCTCTGGATACCCCACGAGGAATGTTTTGTTATTTAAAATAGAAAACAAGATTCATATACAGAAAGATAAAAAAGACTACAGCAGAAAGTTCAAATGGGATTCTCCTCCTGTCATTTATCTCCCAGTGGAGCATAAGCTCTCAACCAATTCACACCTCATTTGTTATCTCTTGTAGCTCACTCAGTCTTTGCCAGTGAGTTTAATCACATGTTTCTAATTCTCTTCTCTGTGTGTTCTTCTGGAGATTCACTTAGGTGTAACAAAGTTGTTATTCAGGCTCTTTTCAGCTTTCTTGATATAGCTTCATAAATCTTTGGTGAAAACAGGTCTTCCTTAACCTTGGCCTGCTAGTTCTTGGTTCCTTTTCACCTTTCATAACTAACTGGCCTTTGAGGATAGAACTTTTTATAATATGGCATAGTCAACCTCAAGACCAACCACATTTTAGTTAATCAAAAGAGATGCAGACACATTAATGTCAGCCAATTGAAAAATATCTAATGCAATAAATCGCTCTCATTTAATGTCAGAAAGAGGGAGCTAAAATGTTGCATAGAACCTGTTCTGCTGTATGGCAGCGAATCTTGAAATGTAACTGAACAAATTAAGAAGAATTTGGAAGCAACAGAGATATGGTTTCTAAAATGAATGTTACGCATACCTTGGATGGCCAGAGTAACTAACAACGATTGCTTGAAAGAGGCTAATGAAAGTAGATCTCTATATACAACAATAAGAAAGAGACAAACACTGTTCTTTGGCCACGTTAAAGAACATCGTAACAACTGGAGAGATCAGTGGAAAAAGGGGTAGAGGCAGACAAGGAGAGATGATGCTGGATGGGCTAAAACGATGGCAAGGAGGGATATCATCAAGAGAGCTGTTCCAGTCAACCAGGGATCGTGATCTGTGGAGATGCATGAGCGCCTACGCCAGTTGGCAGGGCACATGATGATGATGATGAAAATCAACAGTGTTATATTTTTGTAAACATAAACTCAGTTGGTATTATACATCTTGTGTAAAGTTACCAAAAAGAAACAGCAAAAATCTCTTTTCATGCCTCTATGCCCTTTATAGACTTGTTAATGATTAGATGCCAGCCCTCCAAAGTTGCCACTTTTGTGGTAGATCCAGTGTTACCTATATTTGTATAGATAAGTTAGCATCTGTGGGTAATATGGTAAGCAGCGCACTCCCAAAATATAAACTAGTATTAATTTTAGGCTGGGTCAACTTGTGAGCGGAGGTGGGAACTAAAAAAAAAATTCTGCCTCAATGCCGATATGAACCGTAGATTTAGCCATCACACTGCGGCGGCTCCCATATCTTATGTGACCATACTTAATTTGTGCATGTTGGTGTGTGAGGGCAAAATGTTTCCATAAATGTTTATTATGAATATTACCGTTCCAAACGTAGCATGGAAAAGTCTCTTTTCAAAATGAAGTCCTTGTGTCAAAGTCATGTCAAATCCTGGAATTAAAAAAATACACATCAGTTGTACATGTGAAAGCAAGACTGACAGAGGCAGACAGATAATTGGATACATAAATTAATTCTTTAAGCCAGAAGAATCCACAGCATATGTTCTACAACGGCAATAATCAAAACAAAAAATGCATGTATTGCTTTCCATGATGCATTGCCTGGTAAAATAGCCAGCCAGATTTACTTAGCATGTTGAAACCAAGCATTAAATGTAAACTAACACAGCACACATTAAGTGATCCAAATGGGCAATAGCTGAAAAAGATAACAGAAACAAAACTGCAGACATAATAGAAAATTTGTTTCAGGTGAACAAAAAAAAAAAAACCAAACAAACAAAAAAGTATCTCTGTCTGTTCATAGTCCTGTAAAACTGCAATTTGGTCACTGAGTTGCTCTCTTCTGTTTGGTGATGTCTTTCCACTTCTGGCAAGAAATTAATCCAGTGCACTGTGACTAAGAAGTTTAATAAAAGGGAGAAGAACAACCTATACAAAACAGACAAATCAATGTTTTAGCATGAGTCTTTCTCGACATGAACTATACAACAATAACAAAAGGCGAAGTACTCCAAACACTAGTGCCCACCAGGGGGTAGCGTTAATAACTGTAAAGTATAAGAAGATAAAAAGGTAACGAGGAATAGATGAAATAAAATAAATGAAGGAGCGGAAATAAGTCATAAAGGTAACAGTGACAATATATATTGGTAGTAGGGATAAAATCACTTATGATCCATTAAAAAAAAACAGGATTAAATAAAATAAATGTATGAATAGTAAAACTGATTAGATGAAGGCATGCTAAACATTGATACCTGTGGGGCTTAGAATACCTAGACTAAGGATAAGACGATTTTCTAAAGAAAAATGTGTGATTTGATCGATAGAGCAAGATTTTATGGCAGTAATAGACATATCCTTTTCGTCTCTGTGGTCAGAGCTGTTGAAATTAAAAGGGATTGGTTTGAGTGTTTTATTTTCAATATCTGAGAGATGTTGCCGCAAACGATCAGCTAGCTTCCTGCCGGTTTCCCTTTATATGACTTGCATCTTTTGCAGATTACAGCGTCAGTCACATTTCGGATTCACACGTAAATACTTCCCTAATCTGGCAAGCAGATGTGCTGGACTAGACGATTTTATATTTGAGGCTAGATCCAGTTCTTAAGCTATGAATGTTATTGAGAAAACAGTCATAGAATTTTCAAAAATGATGATACCATTATTGACGCTTTCTTTACACATGGCAACTATGGTCTTGGAGAAGCCGGCGATTTTCTCTGCAGTTTTTATTGTCTGGTCAACAAGCTGGTCTGGGGGAAACACTTTACTGACTAGTCCTGCGAAGAATGCAAAAATATATCAGTTATATATCTAATATATAAAATACAGTAAGGTAATATAGTCTTATAGCAGACACTGCAGTTGGCGTATAAAGTGCCAGACCTTCACAGCTTCCAAGTCACAAAAAATAAGCTAGGGTAGCTAGTTAGTGCCCTTCCTCATCACCGTTTCTTCCCACAAAGTTCCCAGATCCATATTCGAAAAAGGGGGGAAGGGGGGGGGGGGGGGGGGGGGGGGGGGGTTGACAATGTTCAACCTATTGCAGTTTTGGTTATAATTGTAGTCCTCTTTTCTTTGTGCCAATTGTATAAGTTAAGATGGTTTGTGCCAAATTATGGCTTTTTTTTGGGGGGTGCTTCTATAAATAGCTAAGTATCCCTACTAGTGCGACATGTTGTCCATCTTTGCATGTCTGGGTTCATTATGGTAGTCCTATGGTTTCAGCAGGTGTCCTTTTCGCCTCTCCAACCTCCTTATTTAGGTTGTGATTGCTGTATGTATGATTTGTTGCCAAAGTAAGTAAAGTCAAAGACCCTTTTCTACACTTGTGGGTGTACTGGACAGATAGAGTTGAAACTAAATTTTATAGAATAGTCGGCACTCAGTGGGTGATGTGGTCAAAATCACACTGGCCACCTTTACTTTCATGAACTTTACCTGGTACCCAGTTAGGGCTGGGTTGACCTGAAACCCAAGGTCATTTTTTGAAAAAAGTATGTCTCCGTCAGGACCTGAATTCATGACCTTCAAATGCTCAGGGGAGCGTATAGCCATTACACAACGGTGGCTCCCTGCCAAAGTGAAGTTTCCGAACATTCTGCAAATTACTTAGTATCCATTTTTATTAGGCTGGGCTGACCTCAGTGTAGTTTTGATTGGAAAACAATTCTGTCACCTTCTAAGGTTGACCTCGGACCACTGTCTCAATAGGTGTGTGCACTAACCACCATGCAAGTGTAGGTCATACATCTCTAATGACTATATATTTTAACTGTTATACTTTAACATGATAATATATATATACAAGCAAGTCATAAAACTTTGCTAACTAGGGGGTTTCCTTCAAAGTCGGAGTGCATCTGCCCGAGTGGTGAGGAACCAACAGTATGCTTACAAATAAACCAGATTTGTAAAGTGAATCTACATGCAAAACTCAAGTTCTTGAAGAAGATTTAAGTCTAGAAGTGAAGTGAATCTGCATGCAAAACTCAAGTTCTTGAAGAAGATTTAAGTCTAGAAGTGAATGAACAACCAGAACCTGCCGGAGTTTAAAGATGGAGAACGCGAAGAAGAAGAAGAGTGCACATCAGCAGACAGTGAAGTTAATAGCACTATAGGTTTACTAATGTCCTCAGAAAATAAAATCTGGACAACGCTGACTGTAACATAGTATATTACTGATCTCCTCTCTCTTCTCAATGTTTGCCGGCTGTAAACTCTGGCAGAAAATTCTGGTTGTTCATCCATTTCTGGACTTTAGTCTTGTTCCAGAACTTGAGTTTTGTGTGCACATCCATTTTACAGACATGGCTTATTTGTACGAAGACTGCTGGTTCCTTCCCTCTCAGGCATATTAGACTCTGACTTCGAAGGAAGCCCCCAATTAGCGGACTCTTATGACATGCTTGTTGGGGAGGACAGTGGGTCTATTCTTGTTTTCCCAACAATGGGGCCCCGGAACCCACACAGGGAGTGACTGCCCTAGCATAGAGATGTTTTCACACCATACGGTGTATGTATCATACATACAGCGACCAGAACAACCATCAAAAGTACAACATAATGGTTTAACTATCAAATGTACAACAAAGTAGTTTAACTATTAAACATACAGTGTACATATCATTCACACATTACCAGTACAACTATCACGGATACAACGGTTTAACTATCAACCAAACAACAGATAGTATTAGTAGCACATAGTATTAGTACTAAACAACCAGCAGTATAATTTACATACATTATCTTAACAAATCATACATGAATATGTTTTACAACAAAATATTACATTTTGGTGAACTAGTCTATAAAGAAAAGAGCAGGGACAAAGTAATGATGACATTAGTAGTGCATGAAAAAGTTTTGAAAAGTGTCACAAATGTGGAAGATAATATTAAGAGATGGACAAACAGATGGACAAACAGCAGTCTGTTGGAGTGTATATACAGGAAAGGGACTAAGAGTACTGGAAATCCCCTGCAGTCAACCTTTGTGGTGGAGATGGCATCTGGTTGACTGATTTTTCAATGAATGCAACTAGGAACAACAGGGAGAAAAACACTCAACTAGAAAACTGGAGCTATCCATTATCTGCCAGAAATCATAATAGCTTATTATGTAAATCATGAATCACACAGCATGACCTCTCTGTTACCAAAGAGACCTGCACTGTCATTTGTCAGAATCTCTGGTGTGGGTTTGAAGTCACCTGATTAGACCAATTAGAAATATCTGATACAATAAAGGAATGACTGTCAACTGTCAATCAAGTGCTGAACGTAGCTTTTCATTTGCAGCACACTTCTGTATATCTGCCCAAGTCTTTTAACTCTTCTAAAGTTAGTATGCCGGTGGAGATTTAACTGCATCAGGCACAGCAACCAGTAGTTATCTTGTTCCACGTTTTCTCACACTAATGGCCTACCCTGAAGCTTTTAGGATGTTTGTATATCTCTTTGGTCCCTTGTAAACTCACGTTACCAAATCATGTTTGCTACAGATTGCCTTAGGCAATCGCAGCATGGCCTACCCATCTCATTGGTAATGAATGACTGTGTATCTGGTCAATACTTGACGATCAGAGGAAAGGCAAGTCGGAAGTATAATCAGAATACTTCTGGCACCATTAGTAATGGACTCTGCGCTGACTGCTAAATATGAGGATGGGGCAATTATGGGAATGCCCCGAGTGCGGTGATATCAGTTCAACTCAAGTGAATGACTCCCTTACTGTAATTTTAATCACAGGCAGTTAATGGAAATAAGACACTTCATAGAGATTACTACAAACTGCTTCAGTTAAAATAAATCTATTATTATGTTGGCAATCTTTATCTACCTGCTTTCTCTGCTTCCTGGGCTGATATCCTGTCTCCAGTGAGAACCATTTCCATTGCCTTTGACTTGCCAATGGCTCTAGTTAGTCTCTGTGTACCTCCAGCGCCTGAGAGCAATCAATTATATATATATATATATATATATATATATATATATATATATATATATATATATATATTATACACACACATAAAATTTAAATGAATTAAAGAAGTTAACCCTTTCACCCCAGGGACCTAGAATAAAAGACCTGTATTTGATTATTATATTCATTTACACAGTAAAAACATTTTACACAGGTCATTAAAAAAAGTCATAACAATTCCATTTACAGATCAAACCAACATTTAACTGCATATAAAATAATGGGAGTAATCAACAAACATGGAATGGTGCAGAGAATTGCCTGGCCTGCATGTCACTGAGCTTTGGAAAAAACTCGTTCTTGACCCCTGTTTCTTTGTCACCTGAGGAGAGGAAGTGAGTTCTTAAGAGCTAAATACAGCCAATTCTATGTATGGCAGCGGTTCTCAAACTGTGGGTCACAACCCTTTTTTGAGTCGAACTACCCTTTCACAGGGTTCACTTAAGACCACCACAAAACACATACTGACTGTGAAGTTATGAATAGCAGCGAAAATAATTGTATGGTTGGGGGTGGCCACAAAATGAAGAACTGTATCAAAGGGTCGCGGGATTAGGAAGGGTGAGAACTAAGTACAGACCATTGCTCACAGATTACATGTTTCAACATGTTTTTTTATGTTATAAAGTTATGCATGTAAGACAAACTGTAGCTGTTACAGAAAAAAAAATGTATGACTATAAAAACAAACTCACCTGGAATTGTGCCTAAAGCAATTTCTGGCTGCCCAAACTGAGCTTTTTCCCCCGCGTAAATGATATCGCACATCATGGCCAGTTCACAGCCTCCTCCCAGCTGCAACAGATAGAAGGTATTCAGCACAATGACTCTACACCTGGTTAACACTGACATCTAATCCTTTCTCATCACATGTATTCTACAACCCTGCTATTTATGCAATGTAATATGACACCGCCAAAGTACTGACAACAAAAAGTTAACTTGATTTCAGACATTACATACTCTTGAATACTGATAAACTTTTAGCAGAATGATCTGTCAATGAATTTAAAAAAGAATGAAGTCTATGATTACTAATACAACAATTGCTGTCAATTTCTTATAAATTTTTGCAATGTCACCCACCTCACGTATGTCCTCTGCCAACAAATCTGTGATAAAACATGAAAATATATTTTCTGAGTTATTTTGTTTCTTTCTGAGTGGATATGTTGTCAATCTTTGATTTGCTCTTCTGATCACCAAAAACATATGAATGTGACCACAAACAGATTTACCAAATGAAAAAAAATTACCTTGATTATTTTCAGTTTCACTTCCTTCAGTTTTGCTTAATTTAGTTTTTTAAACTGTTTTCACAGTGCACCACAAACAGACCTGTCATTCAGACATAATGGAAACACAATGCACCACAGACAGCCCTGTCACTCTGATATAAAATGGAAACACAGTGCACCACAGACAGCCCTGTCACTCAGACATAATGGAAACACAGTGCACCACAGACAGCCCTGTCACTCAGACATAATGGAAACACAGTGCACCACAGACAGCCCTGTCACTCAGACATAATGGAAACACAGCGCACCACAGACAGCCCTGTCACTCAGACATAATGGAAATACAGTGCACCACAGACAGCCCTGTCACTCAGACATAATGGAAACACAGTGCACCACAGACAGCCCTGTCACTCTGATATAAAATGGAAACACAGTGCACCACAGACAGCACTGTCACTGAGACATAATGGAAACACAGTGCACCACAGACAGCCCTGTCACTGAGACATAATGGAAACACAGTGCACCACAGACAGCCCTGTCACTGAGACATAATGGAAACACAGTGCACCACAGACAGCCCTGTCACTGAGACATAATGGAAACACAGTGCACCACAGACAGCCCTGTCACTGAGACATAATGGAAACACAGTGCACCACAGACAGCCCTGTCACTCTGATATAAAATGGAAACACAGTGCACCACAGACAGCCCTGTCACTCTGATATAAAATGGAAACACAGTGCACCACAGACAGCCCTGTCACTCTGATATAAAATGGAAACACAGTGCACCACAGACAGCTCTGTCACTGAGACATAATGGAAACACAGCGCACCACAGACAGCCCTGTCACTGAGACATAATGGAAACACAGTGCACCACAGACAGCCCTGTCACTCAGACATAATGGAAACACAGTGCACCACAGACAGCCCTGTCACTGAGACATAATGGAAACACAGTGCACCACAGACAGCCCTGTCACTGAGACATAATGGAAACACAGTGCACCACAGACAGCCCTGTCACTCAGACATAATGGAAACACAGTGCACCACAGACAGCCCTGTCACTCAGACATAATGGAAATACAGTGCACCACAGACAGCCCTGTCACTGAGACATAATGGAAACACAGCGCACCACAGACAGCCCTGTCACTGAGACATAATGGAAACACAGCCAGAGGCTGACCAGTCAAGCAATGAATAGATGGAATATCTGATGTCATAAATACTAGCATCCATGTACCACAAACCAAGGTTCGCACCCGATTCCTTTTCAAAACCTGATACTGAAAGGCTAAACAGGACTAGAGAAAAATAAGAAGAAAAACAATTGTGCCACCTCCACATTATGACTCTCGTACCAAAATCCACAAGAACAGTCTTTTTCTAGACTTCCCAGAGTATGAACAGAATCTTAGTAATTACTGAGCCTTCATTGGAATGGAGCAACTGTGGGGTGACCCATTTGCTATCAAGCTAGAACTGCGATTACCTGTTGAGGACTGTTATAGTATTATTCGAAACGGAGCAACTATGGGGTAGCCCGTTTGCAATGAAGCTGGTAACCTGGTTACCTGTTGAGGACCTTATTAGCCTTTAGAGGGCTGAGTGGTCTCAGGATATGGTGTCTGCTTCGAGTGCTGGAGGTCCCAAGTTTAGGCCCCAGTGAAGGCTGGGATTTTTTTCACATGGACTTTTAGTAATTTCCCCTGGTCTCTGGGTAGTAAGATCGAACACCTGTGTGTATTGTTGTGCACGTAAAAAAATCCCTTGGCAGTTTGAAATCGAAAAGAGTAGCCTAACGGGCCAAATTTTGAGTTAAAAATCTAACCAAAGTATTTCAGGATCCTCGCGGGTAAAACAAGTTCGTGTACTGCGCTGAGATTCTTCAGACTTGAGTTGGAAGATAAATGCCATGATGCTGATCCGTCGACTAAACTAAACTATAGCCTTATTTGGAAAGGAACAACTAAGGGATGACCCATTTGCTGTGAAGTCAGGACTGTGATTACCTGATTAACTGTTAAGGACTGTTATAGCTTTATTTGGAATGGAGCAACTATGGGATGACCCGTTTGCTATACAGTTGGAACTGTGACTATTTGATAACCTACTTAGCACTGAATTTTTAAACCATTTCACTAACTACTATGCCACAAAGCCAAATTAGTTTTAGAACTTGTCATTTGTAATTTTTTTCACCCAAAACATGTGTCCCATTCATGTGCACATACAATAAATAAATATTTTGATAACATATACAATAACATTTCAACATTAAAACAAAGTGTGAAACAAAAATGAAAATGCATACAGCATATCCATTGACTGCTGCTAGTACAGGTTTGCGACATCTGGTTATGTTGTCCCAGTGACAGAGAAAGTTCTGGTTGTAAACTTCGGCAAATGTGTCAATCTGTTGCATTTCCTTGATATCTGCTCCAGCTAGAATTGAAGAAAAAAAAAAAAAACCATGTCACTTATAAAGCTGTCAGACCATCTATGGTAAAAGCCATCATCATACAGTTTAATTTGGGATGAATAATACAATAATGGATGCTTTATTATTATCCTACCCAAAACAGGGGAAATCCACAGGTCACTGGACAGTCTAATATTTCAGGTGGTGGTAGATAGGCTCCATGCAGTCATGGGACCTAGGCTGCATGCAGTCGTGGGACCTAGACTGCATTCTCTCGTGGTACGTAGGTGGGTTGGAGTTAGTGCCAGTTCTAGATGTTTTGGGGTCGTTAAAAGCATCAGAAAGCCAGGAAACTCAGTCTTACCACCCTCTAAAATGTTGGACTGTCCTGTGAGACATCATCTGGGGTAGGATATTAATAAAGAACCCAATAATGACATACCCCTCTAATGGGACATAGTTTATGGGGACATATTCCATTGTTTGTTTTACTTGTCCCTCTGGTATATAGAGGAATAATGCTTTTGACATTGTTCTTTGTTGTCCTTGTGTGCGTTTCTTCGTCCCCAACAAGCATGTTGTAAGTGGTGACTAACTGGGGGCTTCCTTCGAAGTTTTGATGTATCTGTCTAACAGGCAAGGAACCAACAGTCTGCATACAAATAAGCTAGATCTGTAAAACAGATGTGCATGCAACAAACACTCAAGGCCTGGAAAAAGAAGATGATGAACAACCAGAACTTTATGCCTCAGTTAACAGCTGGTGAACCCGAAGAAGAAGAAAAAGATCTTTGTTGGTACCTTCCTGTGTTTCCAGACAAAAGTGTTTTGCTGTGGTACACGGAGGCCGTTTTCACCAGATGTCTCTCCTGTCCATCGAGTGGCCCATTCCTGATAGTTGCACTGCCTTTCACACCAGCATGTCCTGGGACAAAAATGAAGCTGATTTTGGGAAACACTTTTATATCTCCTTATCAAACCAGAAAGGTCCTGCTGGTTATTTTCCCAGGGGTTTGTTCCAAACATACTCATGTTACCTGTGTTTTGAAGTTAATAGAACAGGCAGAAAGAGGGATCATGCTGCACTGGCAACATATGGTCCTTACACTACTGCCCAAGCCTTGTGTTTGCAGAGAAGGAACTTCATCACTAGCTTTAACTGGTAACCCCATGGCCTGTGATTCCTATGAACCCCCCCCCCCCCCCCCCCCCCCCCCCACCCAATAGCACAATATAACACTTTTGTCTGGAAAAGTGCCAACCACGACAACAACAAGAAATAGGGGAAATGATACCAGCACTGCACAGTAAGAAAAGCTGGTAACAATATATCTACCTCCCCGTGTGGGTTCCGGGGCAACAAGTTACTTGGTTGTCTCACAGGGTGCTCCAACATAACTGTTTTAGATGGTTGAAAGGGGTCTCTGGAAACTGTTGGACTGGCATTTAAAAAATAATTTGACTCTGAGTGGGTGTCAGTTTTTAAGGATGAAAGTGGAGTTTAAATTATTAAAAAAAAAAATTATTTCTAAATGAATGAATGAATCAAGCACTGATATTACTGCACCAGGGGCATCCTCATATGTGCTCCATCCCCTTCCTCGGTAGTCAATGAAGAGTTCCCCATACAGATGGTGCCAGTTACACCCTGACTAAAATTTTGTCTTTTTTCTCCCGAACCTTGATGAGACAAGCAAAAGGTGCTGGACTGAATTCCATCCACAATATCAAAGTGATTACACAGAATAGAATGGAATGGAGAAATAGACTGTGAACTTTCTGTGAAATAAAATAGCACAACAGGACAATGAGTGAATTAAAATGCCCCCCCCCCCCCCCCCCCCCCACCCTTGCAGGCAGAAAAATCATCCAGACTCTGCTCTCTGACAGCTGAAACAATGAAACAAAATTAAAAAATGAAAGCGAAAAAATAAATAAAAATTAAACCAACCTGCAAAAGCTTTTTCATTGCCAGTTATGACAATGGCTCCCACATCCTTGTCCGCTTCAGCATCAGCCAGAGCAGTATTGATGTCAGCAATCAGAGGCCCACACAAAGCATTCAGAGCTTTGGGCCTGTTCAGCTGGATGAGAACCACATTCTTCTTTTCCCCCCTTTTTTCCACCTTGATGTTTTCATACTGACCTGGACAAAGATACGGCCATGGTGTTAGTGAAATGGTAAAGATAGTTTTATGCTAGGTCCTGCTGTATACACACACACACACACATCTATATATATGGTGTCCCATAAATTTCCCTATACAGAAAAAAAAAACATATCATTTATGCCATAACAAGCATAAATTCAGCTGTGCTTATTTATACATATTCTGATTGGCACATATGAGGTGTGTTCAGGACACAAAAGAGAACACGGCTGGCCATTGTGGAAAAGACTTGAACCTCACCATGTATCACCCTAAAGTTAGCAATGGAATCCATTGTAGCCAAACTTCACTGACGAGACGGCATCTGACTGATGTTCTGATATTAATAAAAATGGATTCATTAAAAAAATTTTTATTTGCCTATGTATGGAAATGTATGGGACAACCTGTATATATGCGTCTTTGTACACACACACAACTTCCTTTGTATGGAAATGTATGGGACAACCTGTATATATGCGTCTTTGTACACACACATACACACACACACTCACAAGGTCAAATTATGTGAGGGAGGGATGAGTAAAAGGATGACAAACCTGCCTCTTTATAGTCGCATGTTTCTACACAATTTGTTATCCATTTTATGAAATAAGTAATTTCATTTTTATTTCTATCAGCTCTCTTTTAATTCTTAGCCTTGACAGCTTCTTGTATCTGACTATTGTTTCCCTTCAGAGTTACTCAACTTGTAAAATGGCTAAATCCACTACACCAGAACTGGGTGACTGTTACCATCTTGCCTTATTTAGTAACAAAATGCAAACAGTCAACACCACAAAATGAAGCAGGTCTGCTTTGATCCACAGGCTGTAATCACTGATCATCTTTGCATGCCAAAGAGAACAATATTTATTTTGATTTTTCAGTTTACAATATAATTTGCCTATGGTGGTATCTGCCAGTAAAATGTTTATTATCTCTGCTTACAATTGACTTACAGGCTTCATTGAGGTTTTGTTGGATTCGTTATTTTAATCTCCGTCTAACTGTGGTAGTTTTATAAGTGAAAACCCTATATGTAAAACTTCAACACTCTTCTGAATAATGAATGCTTTTGCACTGTAAAAAAAAAATCTCATTTAGGGCCTCAAAAGGTCATAGTTAAAAATATGGAACAGGAACACTATAAACTATGCTTCCTGTTTTTATAGTTTCATTTGCATCAATTTCTTGAGTCTTCGGTAGTATAGTTGTAAGTATTCCGCCTGTCACGTGGGTAATCTGTGTTTAATTCCCTGCAGGGTGATTATTTTTTTTTTAGCCCTTAAAAGAGATTGGCACATTTGTGTTGTGGTTTACAGCTAGGCTGCAATATCCGTCGCTCAGTCTTGTGGTTTACAGCTAGGCTGCGGTGGCGGTGGCGAGATGCTCAATGGTCAGGTCACAGGTAGGTAATCTGATTTCTTTTCGTTCGCCCTTGAAAGGGCGTTTGGCACGTTGTGTTGTGGTTTACAGCTAGGCTGCAATATCTTTCAGCAGTCCTAATTAGTCGCCTTTAACAACATGCTTTTTTGGTGGCAGTGGATCTATTTTTTGAAAACTATTCCTTACCATGACGCTTACACAATAGATCAAGACCTATTCCTTCCCACAATGCTTCAATGGATCAAAAACTATTCCTCCCTGTGACACTTTAATTAATCAAAAACTATTCTTCTCCATGGCACTTCAATGGATCAAAAACTATTCCACCCCACCATGCTTAGCTTAACGTCTAAACATTGATATCCGTCGAGCAATAACTGCAGAAGTGGAAACTGACGACTGCCTAAATGATTATTGGTATGTATTCGGCTTCTATATTTTAGTTGTTCTTGTTCCATATTTTTTACTACATAACCTCTTGAGGCTCTTAAAGGGATGTTTTTCGCAGTGAGTAATTTGGGACTAGTGCCAAAACTTCACTAGTATCACTACTCTGATGTATCATGAATGTATGATGTACGTTGCACAAAAACTGTAGTTGTAGGGTCTGCTTTAAAGGGTAACACTTGTGACATTGTAAAACGCCATTATCACCTGGGACTGAAAAGAGTTAATAACACCTAGACACCACAGTGAGCCATTATTTCGGATTACAAGTGAAGTCATTGAGAACTTACACGGATACGTTTTTCCATTTTTTTAAGTTACAATTACAGTCATAATAAATGCGTGCACACAAGTTACCTGCAGTTGAATAGAACTGATAGCAAGCGTTAACTGGAAGAACGCAGTCATTTCTACACGCCTGTAAGACAGCTCTCTTGCCGATCTGGTTTAGCAGACTTCGCAGTAGTGCCATGTTTCCTCTACACGTTCAACTTTGGACTAACTCTGCTAGTGGATGAGCCCGTCGGTATACTGCTAGAAACTGTATTACAGCTATGCAATAAGACGACAACCAGCAAAGTTCAGTTGATATCACAACCTGGCCGGGGCCCTTTTCTGGGGAAAGCCCGGCTCGCTGGCGTAGTTGGTTAAACCTTTCTTAGCAGCGGCTGAGTGGTCCGGGTTTACGCCCGGGGATAGGCAGAAAAGCCACATTTTCCCCTAGATTTACGGTATCTATCATGGAATCAAGGCCGCAGGGTTGCGATATTTATAGTCCTAAGCCAAAGGGTTAACAACTCATGGTTTCCGGATATTTAAAAAGAAATATAGGGGGAAAAATAATAGACCCACTGCATACCAAAAGCATGTCGTAAGAGTCGAATAATTGGGAGCTTCCTTCTAAGTCGGAGTGCATCTGCCTGAGAACTAAGATTTGATTTGATTTGATTCAAGAACCGACATCACAGCACTCGGGGCATTTCTTTAAGCGCTCCGTCCCCATCTTCAGCAGCCAGCGAAGAGTTCCGATACTAATGGTGCCAGTAGCTTTCTGATTAAACGTCCATCTTGCCTGACCTCTGAGCCTTGAGCTTCTGCCAGAACCTCTCGTCACCCCCAACTGCATCAATCTCACCAGACTGTGGTGATCCATCTGGTGATCCGAATTGTACACGCTCTCCCACAAGGCACTAGCCACGCCTGCCCTATCATGTATCAGTATTCCACCAAGTTGTGCAGAGCCAGCCAGTCTGTCCGCCTGTTAATTTTCCAACACACAGGCGTGACCTGGTGAAAAAATGCAGACAATACTCCTCACTCGTGTCCTCCGCAGCGAAGCATGCCACTCTGCACGAAGCATACCTGTTCTGATTTTCCTTAGTATGCTTTCTGAATAATTTACAATCACGATGTGTGTGTGTGTGACGTGTTCTCTAGCCAGCGGAAAGCTGCTGTGGCCGCCTCCACCTCCATTCTTAAGCTGGATGTTGTGGTATCATATGCTAGGCTCTCCTTCATCAAACGGCGACCATTAACTTTTGCTAAAAAGCCACAAGCACTTCTTTTGCCCCTTGACACTGAACCGTCTGTGTAAAGGATCAAATCCTCTGAGCGAGCATTATCTTGAATTAATTGCTGAATTTCCACCTCTGTGGCACCTGCTGACCAGTGTCTGCATTCCCGGCTCAGCGTGATTATGACTCTACACAAGTCTGACTGCTCAGGTGGCACTTTGACCCACTACTCTCCTCGCCTAATGTTCTCAAGGATGAAAACCTGTCTAATTGTGTCTTCTGACTGGGCCATCCATGACCTCCCTCTTATCAGCCGCTGACCCTTAACTGCACCCAGAGCTTCATGCAGAGGATGGTCTGTGTCTGCAGCTACCCTGAGATGTGACTTCGCCTGCAGCACCTTGTGCCTACCTGCAACCGTCGGCAGACCAAGGATGTATCGCATACACACCACTGGGGTGTCTCTGGTGCAACCCAGAATGACCCGCATAGCCGCGTTCTGTATGCGCTCTAGTTTGTCCATCTGACTCTTTGAGACGGTAAGCAGTCCCTGGCCATAATCCAACACTGACAGGATCAGGTGCTTATATAGTGTGAAAAGCATTCTCTGCTCTATGTCAATTGCAGCCATAGTCTTAAGTGCACTAAGTTCTTTTTGGCATCTCGTCACAACACTCTCCACATGATCCTCAAATGACAGGCTCCTGTCAAATGAAATTCCTAGATACTTCAGTTTGCTCTCTCTGTTGACGTCTCTACCATCTATCGTGAGACTTGGGACATTAGTTTTTACGATTCTGTTGTCCAGAGAACACCACAAAACAGACGCCTTTTCCGGGTGAACGACAGCCCTAATTTATGTACACCACTCAGTCACTTTGTCTACTGTCGCTTGTAACTCCTGAGCTGTTTCTTCCCTCTCTTTCCCCTGCCTACATGCAAGTATATCATCCGCAAAAGTCAGTATCCTTCCAACTCCTGGTGCTTTTGGGCTTGCAATCTTACTCGTATACACGTTGAAGAGCACAGGCGAGATGGCGGATCCCTGTGGCAGTCCTGGGGCCAATGTGCATGGTTCAGAGGTCCATGAGCCCAGTCGGAAAGCAACCCGACGTTAATACAGGACAGCTGCAACCCAATTCACCAGCCATGGATTGACCTCCTTCTCCCTCAGTGCAGTCATTAAGATGTCGTATCTCACTCTGTTATAAGCATCTTCGAGATCCAGTCCTACCGCCATAGTTTCCTGTCTGTTCTGGAACCCTTCATAGACGTCAAAAACAAAAGTGGCCGCATTTGCCCAAGTGTCCTTTCCTGGCCTGTAACTTCCCAGACCTCTTGGGAGAAGCTTCCCCCTTTCCAAAAATTCTTGTAACTTTACAGCAACTATCTTCTCCAAGACCTTCCCAAATGTGTTTTGTAAGGTGATGATTCTAAAGCCACTAAGCTTTGAATGATCTTTAAAAGGTTTTGGTAGTGGGATTAGATAGCTGTGCACCCATTCTTACGGTACTGACGCTGTCTTAATACTCTGGTTAAAACAGTCGGCCATCTCTGCCAGGTCTACATCGCTCAAAGCCTTCATGAGACCATACCTGACTCCATCAGGCCCTGGTGCAGTGTCTTTTGCTTTTTTTCAAAATTTGTTTGATATCTTCCACTTGTATCATGTCTTTATAATGCATATTCTTCAAGGTGCCAGCTAACTCCTTTCTAACTGCATCCCTGGTGTCTACATCATTATGATCTGTCTGAGCTATGAACCTATGGAGAAAAGCCTCCCCTTTCTCCTTGTCTGTTGTCACACGCACACCATCGTCTCTACAAATTGTTCCGACTGTCATAGGCCGATCTTTTCTTTGCATCTGACTTTGCAGTTTCCAGAATTTCCCTAATGTTTTATCGCCTCCCATTTCATTCACAAAAGTTTCCCACTTCGCTCTTTTGGCCTCTGCAGCACAGCGCTTGAAAACCTCCACCTTTTTTCACATTCTCCGCCATCTCCATTTCCTCTCCTGAGCTTGAGGGTGTCTGTCGTACTTTCTTTAGCTGCTTCACTGCGGCTCTCTTTGCCTTCAATGCCTGTTCTACTTCTGGAGTCCTCCATGGGGGCTGTAGAAAATTAGTTCAGGCAGTTCTTTTGCATGCTCCCCATTTGAGGCGTCCAAGTAGGTTGTTGGTCCACTTATACTGGAAGGTTGAGAGCCAAGGAGCCAGCATAAAAATGAGTCAGATATGTAAAACGGATGCACACGCGACACTCAGGTTCTGGAAAAGGACTGCAGTCCAGTCCAAAAGTAGATGAACAACCAGAACTTTTCGCTAGAATTTACAGCTGGTGAACGCGAAGAAGACAACCCGGAAAGGCAGTTGTACATGATGAGAGAGGCGGAATCTGAGCACCAGTGAACGTGTCCGGAGTGCCGTCAAGATAGCCCAAATTAAAGTAAATACAAATTTACAACTGTGCTCCACAACCGTAATCAATTCTCCGAAATGGGAGGAAATAACCAACTTATTTTTATTAAAGCACTTTTCTTTATCATCATCTTCTTTTTCTTCCACGGCAGCATGTTATGTTGTGATTTGAAGCTAGTTTGTGATATCTGCACCTTTTGGCCAAACACTTGCGATTTCAGCAACCTCTTAATGAGTCGTTTTGCACGAGATACTTGTTAAGCAGGTCTGCCCCCCCCCCTTTCCTCCCCCTACTTTCTAACAAAAATGTGTCCCTGTAATTCATACAGGAGAAATGAAAGCAATGATTGGTTGGACAAATAAAAAGCAGTGACAGTCTTAGAAAACAATAGAACATTACAGGCATTGTTTTGTGTCTTAATATCTGACAAATTGTGGCCCCTCTGACTTGTCTTCAACTTCTTCTTTTTCTTCGCGTTCACCGGTTGTAAACTCTGGCAGGTGGTTTTGGGTGTTCGTCCACCTTCGGACTTCGGTCTTATTCCGCAAAGTGAGTGTTGCTAGCATATCCGTTTCACATATCTGGCTTATTTGTATGCAGACTGTTGGTTTCCAGCATCTCAGACAGACGTCCTCAGACTTAGAAGGATGCTAGCAATTAGTCGACTCCTACGACATGCTTGTTGGGGAGGCATCGGATCTAATCTTGTTTTCTCTACAACTGGGCACCGGAACCCTAACTCATCTAGGAGGGTAAAGATTCTTGCATGTAAAAAAAAAAAAGCTATAATGATCGTAATATAGACATTGGTGTGGACTTTAATGTCGGGATAGGGACGAGATGCAGAGATAGGAACGAGATGTAGAGATAGGGACGAGATGCAGAGATAGGGGCGAGATGTAGAGATAGGGACGAGATGCAGAGATAGGGACGAGATGTAGAGATAGGGACGAGATGCAGAGATAGGGACGAGATGTAGAGATAGGGGCGAGATGCAGAGATAGGGACGAGATGCAGAGATAGGGACGAGATGTAGAGATAGGGACGAGATGCAGAGATAGGGACGAGATGTAGAGATAGGGGCGAGATGCCGAGATAGGGACGAGATGTAGAGATAGGGGCGAGATGCAGAGATAGGGAAGAGATGCAGAGATAGGGACGAGATGCAGAGATAGGGACGAGATGCAGAGATACGGGATGCAGAGATAGGGACGAGATGCATAGGGGACGAGATGCAGAGATAGGGACGAGATGCAGAGATAGGGACAGATGAGAGGGGACGAGATGCTGAGATAGGGACGAGAGATAGGGACGAGATGCAGAGATAGGGACGAGATGCAGAGATAGGGACGAGATGATGTAGAGATAGGGACGAGATGTAGAGATAGGGGCGAGATGTAGAGATAGGGACGAGATGCAGAGATAGGGGCGAGATGCAGAGATAGGGACGAGATGCAGAGATAGGGACGAGATGTAGAGATAGGGGCGAGATGTAGAGATAGGGACGAGATGTAGAGATAGGGGCGAGATGCAGAGATA